GGCTGGTCTCTATGGCATTGGAGCCCACGGAGGTCCCTGTCCTCCCTAGGCTCCATCCCCAAATATCCAGGAGTTTACCAACCTGGAACTGGCAACCCTGCCCACCCATCCCCTGCTGGTGGCCAGGAGGGACTGGGCAACCCTACACAGAGACCAAAGCTTCCACTGTGGTGCCCACCAGCAGCTGACATTCAGACGTACACTGTCTCTGAGCACAGAGGTGCCGCTGGTGGCCAGGAGATTCAGGATGGAATTACTTCATCACATGTGAAACCTACGGAACTCACTGCAGGATGTAGTGATGGCCCCTAATTCAATTACAACAGAAAGAAATTGAGGGGGGGATCTAGTTATCTATCCAAAGGACAAAGGACTGCTGCTTGTATAGGAGTATCATTACCAACTGTCACTACATCCCATAGCAGTGAGTTCCATAGGATACCTCAGAAAGGATATAAGAACAAGTAGAGTAGCCAACCTCCAGGTGGTGGCTTGAGATCACCTGGGATTACAATTTATCTCCAGACAATAGAGATTAGTTTCCCTGGAGAAAAGGGCCGCTTTGGAAGGTGGACTCTATGCCAGTTAGGTGTAGTGGTGAAGTGCACGGACGCTAATCTGGGAGAACCGGGTTTGATTCCCCACTCCTCCACTTGCACCTGCTGGATGACCTTGGGCAAGTTCTCTCAGAGCTCTCTCAGCCCCGCCTACCTCCCAGGGTGTCTGTTGTGGGGAGGGGAAGGGAAAGGAGTGTGTAAGCTGCCCTGAGATGCCGTTTGAAGGGCGGGGTTTAAATCCAATCTCTTCTCTTCTCCTTCATTAGACCTCATTGAAGTCCCTCCCCTCCTCAAACTCTATCCTCCACAGGCTCCACCCCCAAAATCTCCAGGTACTCCCCAACCCAGAGCTGGCAACCCTCAACAACAGCCATCTAGGGCAGCATCCTGTCTCCCATAGTGACCGACCCGATGTCACTAGGCAGGAATGCAATATCCCATTCCTGTATCTCAGATTTGTAGGCCAGTGAACTGATCGTCCAGAGGGTGGCCACAGCCTATAGCCACAAGAGTCCATGGGTTTGCAACCCTCCCTTTTAAACTTATTGAATGGCCAACACCCCATCTGCTATTAGTGAGTTCATGCATTAGATGAAGGCTCAGCTTCTCTTCTATCAGAAATCCTTCTCTTCCACAGTCTTTTACTTTCAGCCTCCATGCAGATGAGCTACCAGGGCTACCGAGAGGCACCCCCAGGCAGCCCTTGGTTCCCCCTGAAGCCTCTTCAGCCTCCCAGACCTCAATCCAAGCATCATATGAATAAATCACACAATCTGCCCAACTCCACGGGCCCTCCGAGGTGACCAAAGACCCTGGAATTCTGTCCCCTTTTGCTGCTCGGCCTGTGACCCACTGGAGGGCCCAACCCCTATCAGATTTCTAGGCTGTACCATGTTACCAGTTTTGATCAATTCAACGTGTTCCCAAGCGCTCTCATCAGGCAGACTGTGAGCTCCTATCAGGAAGTATACTGCATCAACACACTGCCATGCAAGGATTCAGTAGCGCTGGTTTATGCAGCAGTACCAGAAAGTCCCTATTGGTATGAAGCATTTCACTTTGTCTGCATTTGGTGTCTGCAGTTACTGCGATCAGCGTTCCGATTCTAATTCCAAACAATGCAACTTTAATCATATGTCGTTCCAAAGCCTACTTGGCCTCAAAACATTAAAAATAATTCCCTAAAACTTGTTGGAGGAGGGAAGGAAGGCAGGCTTCAAGTATTCTCATAACATACCCAAGAACAAGGAATCGCAGCTTATCCTGTCCTGCTGATACCCAAGAACAAGGAATTGCAGCTTATACTGTCCTGATGAACTATTGCAAATTTAATTACACCTCTCCACGAATCCCACCTGGTTCATATTTAACTGTTTATGAATTGCCACAAAATGGAAATCGTTTCAGGTGGGTAGTTGTGTTGGTCTGCAGGAGAATCATAGAGTTGGGATCTCCAGGGTCCTCTAGTCCAACCATCTATTCACAAATATCTCCCCCTCCACACCTGCAGTGAATGCTGTTCTACACCCAAAAGATGACAATAAACCCTCTAGGATCCCTGGCCAAACTGGCCTGGAGAAAAATTGCTTCATGACCCCAAAGTGGCAATCAGTATTTGTGTAAGAAACAGCCATAAGAACTAAGCACTGATGCAGCCCTTCCTGCCCTCCCTTTCACGATCTACCTAAGTTCACAGAATCAGCCTTGCTGACAGATGGCCATCTAGCCTCTGTTTGAAAACCTCCAAAGAAGGAGAGCCCACCACCTCCCAAGGAAGCCTGTTCCACTTAGGAACCGCTCAACCTGTCAAGAAGTTCTTCCTAATGTTTAACTGAAAACTCTTTGGATGAAACTTCAACCCATTGGTTCTGGTCCGACCTGCTGGGGCAACAGAAAACAACTCTGTACCATCCTCTATATGACAGCCCTTCAAGTCCTTGGAGATGGTTATCATATCACCTCTCAGTCATCTCCTCTTCAGGCTAAACATACCCGGCTCCTTCAGTCTTTCCTCATAGGACTTGGTCTCCAGACCCCTCAGGTCTGAGTCCTGTGGCGACTTAAAGGCCAACAAGAAATCCAGAGCATGAGCTTCCAAGACTCATAGCTCCCTTTGTCAGGCATCGGAGCATCTTGTTAGTCTTCAAGGCACTACTGGACTCAAGTCTAGCTTTTCTGTAAAATGGAAGAGTGCTTATCAAGCATTGGCCACTTGCTCAAACAATGATTAAATGTTATTGGCTTGCTTGGGCTCAACCCACAAACAAGCCACAATCTCACTTGTACACCAATGTGATTCTTTTAAAAAAATCTCCACAAACTAGGGAACGGCAGGCGAGCATGATAAAAAATCTTATTCGGATTCATCAATAGAAGGAAGGGATCTTTGTACACCAATGTGATTCTTTTAAAAAATATCCACAAACTAGGGAACGGCAGGTGAGCATGATAAAAAATCCCATTCGGATTCATCAATAGAAGGAAGGGATCACACCCAGCCTGGCTTGTGCATTCTACCTGTTTCATGACTTTTGCAACTGCCTTGCATTTACATGGCACTTTCTGCATCCTCTCTCCCCCTCCCCTTACCACCTATAGATCTCTGACCAGTTTCTTCATACCCTCCATGCATCTGACGAAGAGAGCTGTGTTTCTCGAAAGCTTATGCAACAATAAAGTTTGATCCAGGTGGTCAGCCGTGTTGCCCTGAAGCAGTACAACACACATGAAAGCTCATGCCTTGACTAAACCTTTGTTGGTCTTAAAGGTGCCACTGGACTCTACATTTGTTCTGCAATAAAGTTTGTTAGTCTTAAAGGTGCTACTGGAATTTTTAACATTTTGATAAAAAATAAAAGGATTTTTTTTTAGTAAGTCTTCCCAGTCTTCTGCCTTTCAAGGGAACTCAAAACCAATCGTTCCAGTGAAAAAGACGGAGGAGACAAGCTTTCGGAGAACGTTGCAGAGGGAGGCGGAATCTGTTCCCCAGCACAACAGTGCAACCTTCTGCTGTTACTATTTCTCTGGCAATTTGAAAAGTGCTTCCCAGAGTTGACAGTCGCAACGGATCGTTCACTGTGGCTGGTTCGTGCCTCGACATTCACCGCAAAGCACTGAGCAGTGACTCGGACCTGGGGGCAATCCATTGCCAGTCCGGCAACCCGAAAGAAACTTCCATACCATATCACCACCCAAGGGAAGCCATTCACCCCATCAGCAGTGAAGCTCTACGGGGTTGTTCATGCACTTCACTTGAGCGCTTGTCAATGGGAGCATCACGTGGGCACTTGCAAGTGAATGAACCATGGCAGCTGAAGAACCACAGAGGAAACTTTCAAGGGAGCTTGGGTGCAAAGAGCATAAACCTAGCATGATGTCAGATTGCAGGAAGGAGTTGGGCTACATCGGAGACCGGGTCTTCTGACCCAGTTCTGCCTGCCTGCACTGGGCACTGCCCATAGGAACCCTCCACAGCCAGCTACCTGCCAGCACTCCAAACGTTACAAAGTTTCCCAGCTCTGCGACAACATGGGGCTGTGTCCCATACCAGCATAGACTTCTTAATACACTGCATCTCCCAGCTTCAGAGCAATGTGTTCCCATTGCCAAGACTACAGAGTCCCTCTCTCTGATAGGCTTCAGACCTGTGGTGATCTCCCTAGCATTGCCCGCCATGTATTTTCACGCTGGGGTAGCCGTTGGCCTCATACGTGTAGTTTGCGTGTTCAGCGGCCAGTCACCCGATGGAGGGAAATCAAGTCAGGGGGTTGGTTGAGACTTGCAGAGAATGAGCACCGAACTACTGAGAAATCAAGCCGCCTAAAGGCATGTGTGAACCCGTGGACCCATTTTACAGATGGGGAATAGAGAAGGAGGTATCGTGCACCCTTGGGAAGCCTGTAACCACGTGGCACAGGTGAGATCTTCTCCGCTGGATGCAGGCGCAGCTCTGGCCACTGGTCCATGTGAGCTGTGACCCTCCTTAGAAGTGACAGCTGACTGCAAACTAAGGTGCCGTTGCTTTGCATGCGTTGGTCTAAAAGAAAATTAATCTGCAGTGCTAGATCCTTGAATATTTCAGTACGGAGACGCTTAACAATTTGGGAGCAAATGATCACCTTGCACCTTTCTTGCAGTGCATGGCCATCGCCTCCAGCATCACCTGCTCAACTTCATGTTCAGTTAGAGACGCTTCCCACCTGGCACAAAACTCAATATCTCCATCCCTTCTCTGTCAAGTCCCTGTTTGACAAGGCAGGGACAGAACAGGGGAAGCTCTTGGCTGTCCCCTCTCAGCTTCCAGTGAGGCCACCATGCTCCTGGTGAAGACTGAGAGCTCTCCAAGCACTGCAGGACCCCACCCCCCCCCCCCCGGACATTTCACACACCCCTGGATGATCCCCGAGGGATCCCACCCCCCAAGCTGTCTCGACCCCTCCTCACCATTGAGCTGGTTGTAGACCACTTCCTCCAGGTGGTCCAGCCGCTGCAGGATGGAGTCTCTGTCCAGGAGGGTGCCCACCTTGGCGTTGCGGCTCCTCATCCGCCGGTCGGCGCTCCGGACAATCTGCACCAGCTCCTGGGACCGGTCCTGGATCCGGCAGTAGACCGAGAAGAGGATGATCCCCACGAAGACCAGGATGTTGACAGTCAACAAAGTTTTGATTTTCCTTGCCACCGCCATGGAAGCCGCTGGGTAGAGGAGCGGGGGCATCAAGGCATGGTCGCCGGTGCCCTCGGAGCCGGAGCCGCATCTAAGGCGGCAGAGCCTGCCTGCGGGAGCCGGGAGGGGGCGGCGAGGGTGGAGGGATTTAGGGGGGGTGGCAGCTCCGGACGGCTTCACCCCTCCCGCCCCACGCCCCCTTCCCCTTCCCCTCGGGCTGGAGAGAGGGTGGCAGGCGAGAGGAGCGGGCGCGGCGAGGCTGCCGGAGGGAGCTGTCCTTCAGCACCACGGCCGCTCGCCGCCTCCGCCTCCCGCAAGGGCGCCTGGCGGCACCGCTCACCTCCTCCTTCTCCTCCTCGCCGCCGGCGTCCCTTTGCGGGCAGAGGCGAGGCGGGCTCTTCCTCCCCCCGCTTCTTCACGGCTCCGGGATGGAGGCGCGCTCGCAACGGGGGACGGGAGGGCGTGCGCGGCAAGGACAGGGCGACGCGGCGGACGAGCAGAGCCGGGCGGGCGGCCAGCGCGTCCCTCCAGGCGTGTGTGTGTCTCTGTGCGTGTGTGCGTGTTGCAATCGCATCGGTTTCTCCCACTGGCAGAGCGCCGGTGCGAAGTCACGTGCTTTCTTGGGGAGGGGAGGGGCGGGGGAGCGAGGAGAGGAGGCTCATCGGCATGCACTGAGCCGAGCCGCTTCGCCTTCCCCTGGTAAGTTGGGACCGGCGGAGGCAGCCCGGCTGGGCGCCCCCCCCCCATCCCCCAGGCACGCAATGCCCCCCGGCGGCAGGGCGCAGGAAGGAATGCGCGCGCGCACACAGGCTCTGAATGGCTGGCTGGGTGGGAATGTTGGTTTCCTTTCCACGGGATTGCCCCTGGATGGGTCCGAGCTCCCACGGAGTACCGGGCTAGGGCGCTCTGCAAGGGATGAGGAGATTTGGCTTCAAAGGTTTCAGCCAGGAAGTTGGGCCCGGCCCAGACACTCTGGGTCTCTCTGCCTCGACCTACCCCGAAGGATTGTTGTGCAGAGCCGCCCTGCAAACGCTGGAGAAATAATGGGATAAAAATGGGATGATATTACAACCAGTCTTCCCTCTAAGCTGAGTTAGTGTGAGCTGCCTCACAGGTTTTTAGCCTCCGTCTCACACATTTTTGTCTCGGCTCAGGAAGGAGGGCTCCAGAGCAAACAGATTTATGCAGTGGCTAAATTGCTGGCTCACAGCTTTAATGTCAGTGGCTCACAAAGTAGATTTTTTGCTCATAAGACTCCACAGCTTAGAGGGAGCATTGATTACAACCGGTGCTCATTTTGCTGCCTACTGAACCAATAGGGGCAGGGGGGGGGATCATAAGAGAGGTTGAGTCTTTCAACCTCAGCTGAATGTAGGGTTGTGGGCTCTGGGTTGGGAAAGACCTGGAGATTTGGGGAGGGGTGAAGCCTGGGGAGTGCGAGGTTTTGGGAGGGGAGGGACCTCAGCAGGGTATAATGCCATAGAACCCAGCCATTTTCTCCAGGGCAACCAAATCTTGGTCATCTGGGAAATCACTTGTAATAGCAGGGGATCTCCAGGTACCACCTGGAGGTTGGCAACCCTAGGAAAACAAATGTTCTCATCATAGCAGACTCCCCCCCCCCCTTTTGTTATTTCACTTCAGCCTGCTCCCAAACAACAGGAACTGAGGGCTTCAGGCAGGCTTGAACATCAGCATAGGTGATCTGTCTCCTGGGGGGAGGGCAGAAAGGCTCTCCCACCAAACTAGATGAGTTCCACATTTCCCTTTCCTGTCTCAACAGGGACTCAACAGCACAGGGCTCTCGGGGACAGACAGGACCCCTTGTTTACGTGCTCTCGGACTGGTGGGGGGGGAGATGCAGTGCCACCTGGCCAATGACCAAAGGCTTACAGGCGTTATTCAGAATGAAAGACAGCATTCACCAGGTGTCGTTTTTTTGAGACCTGATTAGCTTGTGAATCAGCATTCTCAGTGCAGGTGGAAACACTGCCCCTAGGACAACACAGACACCGGCTGGGGGAAATCTGCCCTTCGAATGGAAGATGAAATCCTGAAGGCTAACTGCTTGGTATGCGGCCGGCTCTGGTCTTCCTCTGAAGATGCAGGGATTCCAATTTAGTCGGCACGGCTGCATCCATTTCCCTCAGATGTCCGTGCAGTAATGGGCAGGATAACAAAGAGGCACAAGGCCCTTGAGATACATCTGACACCAGAGAAACAGAGGAGGCCATAACCCCCCCCCCAGACAACAAAGTCTCGCCCCCTTCAGTATTCTGAGCACAACAGCCGAAGTGCAGGATTATTCCCTTCCGACCAAGGCAGGCACAGCCTCTTGCTGCTTTTAAACAATACAAATAATGAGATTGTGAGAATCTCCTTTAAAAAATACATGCAACCACAACAGCGGAGAGCTCAGAGCCTTCAGGGGGGGCACCCAGCGCCGGCTAGGACAGAGCATCCTCCGCAGTCTCGTTGAATTGTCCAGCATCTCACCGTTAGAGCCACTAGAGGCTGGATCCAAAAAGTGGCACCATCCCCAACATATAGAGGTGGGCTTGCAAAGTTCCCATCCAAAGCCAAGAAGAGTCATTCCCATCTAAAGCACTGTTAGGGTCACGGAGCCTCTGCAAGAGGGTTGCCGTTTCGTCCTCCTGAATCACCACCTCTGCCGTTTCCATTGATCTTGTCTGTATTTTGGAAACCAAGATCTGCCTCTGGAAGCAGTTATTTATTTGGTAGGTTTTTACCCCGCCCTCCCGGCCCAGCTGGCTCAGGGCGGCTTACAACAATATAAAACAATACAATATAAATATAATATAAGCCAGTTTGGTGTAGTGGTTAAGTGTGTGGACTCTAATTTGGGAGAACCGGGTTTGATTCCCCACTCCTCCACTTGCACCTGCTGGATGACCTTGGGCAAGCCATAGTTCTAGCACAGCTGTTCTTGAAAAAGAGCAGTTTCTGTCAGAGTTGATTTGAGTTTGAGTTGTTTGAGTTGATGTTATATCCTAATAAAAATTGGTTTTTTAAAAAAAGTACCAGCGAAAGTCCAGTATCAACCGGTTTGCGACGGGCCGCAGATGCACTGTCTCCATCCAGCGTGCTCCTCTTGCCTCGTTGACGCGTGCCGGAAACACACGCTGCGGGAAAAAACCCTGGTTCACCACCATCATGTCTGCTCCCATAGTGCCGGGTCAAATTGCGATGGCGCAAATAGCCACGCCTCCCCCCTCCCTGGCGTTATCTGGCCCGTTTGAATGGGGTCTTTGTTGATCAAGTAAAACATGTCCTGATGGTCACTAGATTGAGTAAGAATCTTGGAGGGGGGGTTAGAGGGAGTAATGGAGAAGGAGAGGGTGGTCAGGGGCTGGGATGTAACCTCATATGTGAAAGCTGTGTGTCAGAATGCCACTCACTTAGAATGTGTAGTGGGGGCAGCTGCACCCTTTGGGTGACGGTTGCTGGTTTCTCAAAAATGGTTGATTAGAAAATGCAATCCCAAAATGGATGGATGCCAAGACCATAGTTTGCCCAGGGCCACAAAAAAATCTTGGGCCAGCAATCCCAAAATGGATGGATGCCAAGACCATAGTTTGCCCAGGGCCACAAAAAAATCTTGGGCCAGCCTTGGATGGATCACCATACCAAGTACATTTGGACTTGTGGGTCACCAGCCCAAAAAGCTTGGGAACCACTGGTCTAAAGGATAAAGGGGTTAGAGAAGGGCAATAATTACCAATCTTGAAGAGGTCCACAGAAGTGGCAAAACAACCAGCATTTTGAGAGAGGAGGGAGAGACCAACAAAGTGGGGTGTATGCAGAGTATCCAAGACACCTACACACACTGCTGAGAGGCAGAGTGCTTCAGACAGAGGGCAAAATGTACCCTCAGGCAGGTGCCTCAGTGCCTGAAAAACAATAACTTAATGCACGTTTCTGAGGTGGACAATGGTGTGGGAGAGGTCTAATGACCCTGCGAGTACCGGGCAGGAAGGGCTTATAGGTTGGGTGAATAGAACTAAGTGTTGAATAACTGCCACTTAATTAAGATAAGTAGGTGCAGGGGAAGTAAGGTTGGGTGTTGATGGGATTAGTCCAAGGGTGAGTCAATAGATTCTGCCCCAAATCATGCATCTCTCTGGGGCACGGAGAGGGCAGTAGACAGTCAGCCACTCTTACTCACACTTCTAAAGTAAACCAGGCTTGTTCCTGACTGGCATCCAATTTGTTTCATTTCAGGCCAGGCAGTGTCCTGCACTTATGGATTTTGAGGTGATATTTTAAGAAGGGTGTTTATGATTATTCTAGCGATAACCTGCCCCTTTGCTAGAGGAGGGGGGCTGACTGCTTACAAAGCTGTTCAGCCATTCCTCATTCTAAACAATCGTAGTCGCAAACCAATCTGGCTAAGTGAAATCTAATATTTGATTTATTAAATGGTGAACTCTTTTGCATTTGTGGAAAAGAGCAAGAGCCCAGTAGCACCTTCAAGACAAACGCAACCTGTGGCAGAGTATGAGTTTTCCCGAGTCACTGCTCACTTCAGTGACTCACGAAAGCTCCTCCCCTGCCACATATTTTGTTAGTCCTTAAGGTGCTGCTGGACTCTTGCTCTTTTCTACTGCTACAGACAGACTAACACCAGATCCCATCTTGATCTCCCGTTGGCATTTGGTTTCACTGTGTTAAACTGAGGGATGCTTTTTCAGAAATCTGGTCTCAGTGGAGCAAATTAAGCACATGCTTACCTCTTCCACTGTAGCGAGTGTGATTTTGAAGTGCTGAACTTCAGCAAGCTTCCAGGACATAATTGGAAGGTTTTTGCTTCAATAACTTTACTGAAGCTAAGCCGGCCTGCGTCGGGTAGGGAGCTAGACGGGGTTAGCTTTTGGGAACCTTGGCTGCAGTTCCGCAATCACTTTCCGGGAAGTAAGCCTCACTGAATGGAATGAGATTTACTTCTCAGTAGACCTGCTGAGGATTGCTGCCTTGAATTCTATGATGATTTTTAAAAAAAG